GGACTATAAATCTGATATCTGAGATGACGTTATTAGCAGCCGAACAGTAGTGAGAAGTTCAGCATCCATTCTTTGAAGGCTTTAAGTATCAACAGTCAGAGTTGCTAGGCAACAGAGCGTACGGCGCAGTGACAGCCATAGAAGGCTGGACCTGTTTGAAGCCGTAACCAAAACTCTTCCATCCTCCAAAGATCCAGTCCAGGTAGACCGGGTCCCTGGAGGAGATGCCTCTGAAATCCAATGATTGATGGTTAAGTTTTTGTCTTATTTCTTGTAAAGCGGTTGGTGAACAACCTTCAGGTACGCTACCGCCACCAACTGGAAAGGGCTTGTAAATTTGTACTTCTAAATTGGTAATTAGTACTTGTAGTTTGTCAAAGTTGTAACTTTATTATTGGTATTTCTATCTTCTCACAGATGAAACATCTGTTAGAAGATGTTCTTACAGAATATAAATCCTAATCACATATTTTCACTAATATTTACAGTTTATACATCTATGCATATGTTTCCATTGACAGTTATCTGACCCCGATGGATGCAGATGGCTTCGGTGTTTTAGAAAGAATCCAGATGTTTGTAACTCCTGAGAAAAATGTTTGACTTTTTAAACCCGGATCAATGGGCTCTGCAGCTCCAGCATCACCGCTCAGTTTCACGGCTCACGTCGGAAACATGTTTTTGTATGACAGGAGTGGTCACTTTTTCCCAGTTTCTGAATATTTTCAGAAGGTGGGGAGCCCAGACTCTAACAAAGACTCTCATTGATGAGTGTTTATGTGTCTGTGAGCCTCATAACCACAGACTGACTCACTCTCACTTTCAGGAAGTTTTATTTTCTCATCCAGTTTTTCTTCTTCCTTCTACCCTCAGTTCCAACAATAAAGACGGAGCCGCATGACGACTACGACGCTGCCCTGATGTGTACCCAACACAGACCGGGCCAGATCCTGCACCCAAAGCCGTATTACCCCCCACAGGTCATGGCTCCGATGATCTCCGACCTCAGGCCGTGCGTGGTGGGCGGGGCTTACGCTGTTAGTCAGCAGAGATTGGTGGCCAGGCCTTCCTCTGCTACTCCCTGTTCCCCGAGCACCAGCCCCAAACTTCAGGATCTGGCCCCGTCACCCTTCTCAAAGTGCCTCCAACAGTCGGGCCATCAGCCACCCATCCCTCACGTCTCCATCATCCAGGAAACTCCAGGACGGTTCCAGCCTCCAGACCTCTACCCGCCCAGCAGCTCTTCTTCTCCTACAGACTCCCAGCCGTCCACCCCGACCGACGCCCCCTTCTCTCACGCTCCTGGCGTGACTCCAGCCCAGCCGGTCAGCGCCAGCCCCGGCGTCCAGGAGCTCCCTGAACCTGCAGAAAGGGGCCCGTCCTCGCTGCCAGAGGATGGCAGCCCGCCGCCTGTGGCCGTTAGCATCAAAGAAGAACCACAGGAACTGGACCAGATGTACCTCGATGATGGTGAGAATAAAACTTCATCTGTTCTTAAACACAACGGAGAACAGCTGCAATCTGGTGCAGGAAAAAAAAAAGGAACTCTTCCCGTAACTCAAATCCTTCAAAAATTTACCAAAACACAGAAAATCTTTTCATGTCATAAAAAAACCTTTTAAATGTCAAATGATCTCATCTGCTTTCATTTAAGGGAATATCTTCCTCTAGGTAAGAAGCTCTATTATTGAAGAAAATAAAAAAATAACTATACATGTCAAAACAACGAGAATGACTTCAAGAAATGTTTCTTTCAATCTGTGTATTTTTCCATTGTTGTTAGCAGAGCAATAAGGAATATGTTTATTTGTTTTTAATATAAAACGTCTTTATCTTATTTCTAGTGCATAATATCTATTTGTCTTAATTTAAGGAGAGCATTTCTCATTCCATTGGAATATAATCTTACCTGCTCAGATTTTAAGAAACTTCTCTTTATTTTAGGTCTATTTTTGCAGCGTAAACCTTTAAATCCTCCATTTCAGACAATATGAAGCTGAGATACTTTTTCAGCTTCGTTTCCTTTGTTGCTGTGGTTTGATTCTTCCATAGAATCTGCAGCTTCCATAAGGAGAACGAGGTTGGTTCAGAGATAATATGAGGTAAAACCGATTGACTTCAATCCTAAAGCTGAATCTGAAGAGAACAGGTCATACAACCATGTATCTGTGAGTCCTTGAAGGTCCAAGACGTTCAGAGGTTCCCCACGCAGAGAGGGAATCAGTGATGATTTAAAACTTCTTCAGAATCATCAGGAAGGATCTGCAGATGATCTATAGACCTTTAGATGATTCTGTATCATCCAGCAGGAATTACTCAGTTTCTGTTCTCAGAATCTTCTTGGATGGATCAGCATAGATCAGATAGATCCGTTCTCCATCCTTTTGCACACTGGAAAAAACTTAATTTTTTGTTAAAATAAGTGATTTTTTCTTGAATTGAGGAGATGAAAGATACATTTTGCCAATGGAACAAGACAATTTAGATTTAAAATAAGAAAACACAATTGCATTGTCTTATTTCAAGAGCATATTATCTAATTATCCTATTTTAAGAGTAAAAATACTAATTCTATTGGCACTCATCTCATTTACCTACTCCAATAAAGGGCAAATACTCTTTAATTTAAGAAATTTTTACTTATTTCTAGATTATTTTTGCAGAGCAGGAATAAGTCGCTGCAGCCAGGCTTTGAGGTGGTAGGATGTCAGATCATTTCCAAGAGAATAACCGAAAACCAAACTCCAGAGGTGAAACTCTTAATCATCATCAGTAAAGAGGAGCTGCTGTGGAAGGACTTAAAAAGTAGGAACTGTTTAATGTTTGCAGACTGATCCAAGCTGGTGACACATCCAGGAACCGTTTTGGACTCCTGTAAAACCCTTTTCCAGCTTTATCTGACTCTCTGCTGTTCCTGGTGTCTTTGCTGGGTTATTCCTGCATCCACTGAGCCGCGTGCAGCTGGGAGCTATTTGCTCTGATTGATCCTGAATGTCTGGAAGCTTCCTGATATGGGGTAAAACCGATTGCCTGCATCTGATGAGAACAGGTCATACAACCATGTATCTGTGAGTCCATGGAAGTCTGAGACTTTCAGAGATTCCCCACGTAGAAAGAGAATCAGTGATGATTTAAAACTTCTTCAGAATCATCAGGAAGGATCTGCAGATGATCTATAGACCTTCAGATGATTCTGCATCAACCATCTAAACTGATAGAACCAGCAGGGATTCCTCTGTTTCTGTACACAGAAGCTTGTGGGATGGACCATCTTGGATCAGATAGATCTGTCCTCCAGGCTTTTGCAGGAAACAGTCACTGCAGCCAGGCTTTGAGTTGGTACGATGTCAGATCATTTCAGAGAAGATGACAGAAAACCACGTTCCAGAGGGCTGGCTGAGGAAGAGGAGGGTACCCATCAGGTCTGACCCATAAAACTTTCCTTAACCATCCAGGAGTCTCCGTCAGGCTGACCTGCCCGCCGTTCTCCCGGATCTTCTCCTGGATCGTTGGAGTTCTTCGTTGGTGTGAGCTTTGCTCTTCTCTTCGCCTTTCTTTCAAGCAATCTGTCCTCCTAACATGGTGCAGGACAAAGGTGTGTCCTTTGCTCTAGAAGGATACGAGTTCACTGCCGAAACCAATTCAAGAGGTGTGTGGTTGCCATGACCCCAATGATTGAGAAATAGCATGCCGACGCTGAATCACTTACAGGAGCTGTAAACATAGAAGGACTTAAAAAGGAGGAACTGTTTAATGTTTGCAGACTGATGGAAGCTGATGACACGTCCAGGAACCGTTTTGGACTCCTGTAAAACCCTTTTCCAGCTTTTTCTGACTCTCTGCTGTTCCTGGTGTCTTTGCTGGGTTATTCTTGCAGCCGTCGCAGTGAGCCGCGTGCAGCTGGGAGCTATTTGCTCTGATTGACCCTGAAGGTGTGGAAGCTTCCTGAAAGCCGTCAGTTCTTCTCCTTGACGCCCCGAGACAGACTGGATGATCTCACCGCCGGAGATCTCTGTGCTCACCGCTGAGGTTTGGAGGCTGCGCGTTCTGCATGCCGCCAATTGGAAATAAATTGGATAACTGATCCCCAGCCTCGGCTAGGAAAACAGTCTGTGGTTGTGTGTGAAGTCAGTGAGGGAGAGGAGCCGAGGAGATGAAGAAACACTACCCAGCAGCTATCAGAGCGCCGAGCTGCGGCACTTTGATCCATAATGCGGAGCTGCTGCTGCTGAAGCGTCTGGCTCAGTTTCCTGAATACAGGGAGTCAGACTGGCCTGCAGGAATTAGACTGCTCCCAGTCCACTTCCTCTGACCAGTCTGGGGAAAGACATCAACACCTCTCAGCTCCGTCTGCAGGAACGTTTAGCCAACTCCAGCCGCACATCCTGTCTCTTTAAGAAACTAAAGGCTGCAAAACCCAAAAAACATCTCATATTCTGATTCTTTTTTTATTTGGCAAACAGAAACTTCAAATCTCAGCAGTAAGGAAGATATTTTTGACACAAACATAAAAAGATTGACCTGTTCTCAAATTACTGCTGCAGTTTATGAGAAAAAAATGTAAAACATTTAATTTAAAAAAGAGATTCTAAAGCTGATTTTATTTCAATCTAAAGCTCAGATTACAAAAAGTTAATCATGTGTTTGTAATTAAAAATCATTCATTTGATTTGATTGGAGGATTAGACCATGTCACTGGAACTGTATTAAATAAATATAATCTATAAAAAAGCAAAATCATTACGAATGAACTGAAAACTGATCAAATATTCCAATAAAAACATCTTCTATTTTGCCCTTGAATAAGGTTAATGGAATTTTTTTTATTTATCTTATTCCATTGGTGAATTGTTTAAAATGTGCTCTAAAGAAGGGAGATTTATCTCACTTCAATAAATAAACACATTTCAATCTGAAAAACTCACAGAGAGAGAAAGATGCAATTGGAAGAGTTTTATTGATACAATAGTTGAACTTTGGCGCTCAGGCATCGGCAGGAAACATGAACGCTGATTTATACTTTAATGCAGATAAACTGATGTATGAGAATAAGGATATTTCCCCCGGGCCTGAAACTGGTGGTGGAGTTTAGATAGATGAAGTTTGGTTAATCCATAGAGGCTGGTATACAGGGTGATGCTTGAGTTAGATGTCACTTGAATGAACAAAGTT